AGAGTCGACAGGAGCGTTGCCTTGTCCTGCAGGGATACAAGTCCGAAGCGGTGGGCGGGAGCATCGCCGCTCCCGCCAGGTGACGTCGACCGCTCGGGCCCCCCATCCTGGAAACGCACCTCCCGACCCCTCAATCTCATTGGCACCCGCGTCTCTCGTCCCATGTCCAGCTCTCGATTGGCCCCGGCAGAGAGGAGCGGCATTGACGACGCCCGCCCCCCCCCTTGGTCCTTAGCGGCTGCCCTCGTGCGCCAAGAAACCCTCATGTCCCCGCGCCCCACGTCCAGTTCACGGATGGTCCTTGTAGTGAGCGGCGGCATGTTGGTCGATGGCGCGGCACCGGGCGGCGCGACGGCGGGAGGCAGTGGCACGACGGCGAGCGGCGTGGCAGGCGGCGCGGTGGTGGTGAACGGTGGCAATGCAGGCGGCGCGGTGACCGGTGGCGATGGTGTGGCTGCGGTAGACGGCGCCGCCGGCGATGGTGATGTGGAAGTTGCCGGCGGCGCCTGTGAGGATATGGCAGCGGGTGAAGTGGGATATCGGACGAATGGTGAGGGGAGTAACAGAGGCGGTGAAATGTACTCTATTAAAAACGGTGCGGCGGCGACATCCGAATCCCCCCCCTCGCCCGCCGGCGCCGGCATCTCCAGCGACGGGGTCAGCAACGGCGCGCGGTCGGAGACCCGCACGACGTTGTTCGTCATGCACACGCGCCCCGTCGCAAACTTGAGGACCTTGACCACCGAGTCGTGATGGTTGTCGCCGTTCTTGAGGTAGCAGCACAGCACTGCCTGGGGATCCATCTTCCGCGCGCGCATCACACGCATGTACCCCGGCTGTAAGAACGGGACGATCTGGAGCGGGGGCGGGTGGCCGGTGAAGAGCTCGTGCGGCGACTTGTACCCGACGTTTGCCTTGGTCGGAGAACGGTTGAAGCCGCCGGCAGCCCAGTGACACGACTCTAGCCAAAGTCGCTCGCCATCGCGTCCGAAGCCGGGGGTGAGGTCGATCTTGGGGAACAGGCGGCGTGCCTCGAGACGAGCGGCGTGGCCGGCCNAAAGCCAATTAAGTCGCGGCTGACGAACTCCCCCCCGTTGTCCATCCGGAAAGAACGAGGNGATACGCCAAAGATCGTGCGGCCGCTCCGCGCGCGTGCCCGATTGGTGAGGCACGNTTGCCACTCATGTCGACGATGAACTTCTTGACGAAGGCGAGGGTGTCCGACTTGTGCCTCATCCCGTAAAGCTTCATCCACCGCGAGAAGCTGTCCACGGACATGATCATGAAAAACGACCCCCCAGCGAGGCCGTCATCGGCCCACACAGATCGATATGCCAAAGATCGTGCGGCCGCTCCGCGCGCGTGCCCGATTGGTGAGGCACGCCCGCCTTCTTCCCCTTCGCCTGCAGGCATCCACCACAAGGCTGCAGGACACCGGTCAGTCGGAGACCGTGCTGCTTCGCAAGCTCACGCAAAAGAAACTCATTGGCGTGGGAGGACGAAACATGGAGAAGGTTAACGTCAATAATCTTGGTGGGTTTCCCCACCGAAAAAGGGCGCTTGCCCGGGGCCATAACGGGAACGGCGAAAGCAACATCATCGAAGACATTGGCAAATCCAGACTCAAACATCAAGTCTAAAAACTCGTAGGGGCCTTCTGACCCCTCTCTTTGTTCCAATAGGTACACAGCCCACTCGTAATCTCCCTGCTCTGTGTACGGAATGCCTCCACGGTCATCATCGTCATTACTCTCCTGAAAAATGGAGATGTCGGGCGAGGGCAGCCCGGGAACAGCTACCAACTCCATACCATGCGGCACTTGAGGAGCGGAAGGAAACACCACACTCCTGTCAGCGGGGGGGGCATACATTGCCGGAGGACCGATGCAGCTCGCAGCGGGCGGGAGACCGTACACAATTGATGACACTACGCTGTTTGCAGCGGGCGGGAAACCGGGCACAGTAGAGGGCACTACGCTGTTTGTAGCGGGCGGGAAACCATACACCGTGGAAGGAACGTATGCTACACCCGGAGGGGGGGGAAACACCGGTGGGGGTTCTGGCATCACTCTCCCATCACTCGCATGTAAACGTACACCAGCAACGGGGGGAGGGGGCACCGGGGGAAAAAGCATCACAGGCACAGCGGTGGGCGTTTCATAGTTGGGCGGCAAAGCTGCCGTCGTCGCCACCGTCGCTCCTGCTGCTCCTGGCTCTACCCCTTCCCCGCCGTACTGCTGCGCGGTGTAAGCCTGCCCGTACGAGTGGGCCCACGGCGGCCGCTGGCTGTAGCCACCGGCCGGCGGCCGGGGCGGTGGGGGCCTATGCGGCGCGTTGGCGGCCGGCATGCCAGCTGGCCTTCCGACATCAACACGCGAAGGACAGAACAGATGGTTGTGGCCGAGTTCACCGCAGTTCTCACACCGCTTGCGAGGGTCATTCGGGTGGATGGGAGGTTCATTTCCCTGCGGGCGGTACATGTGGGGGGAGTAGGCGCTGTAGTCGTAGCCCCGCTAGGGTACAGGGTAGGCGGGGAGGTTGCTGCCCGGCGGTCCCTGGTGAAAAGGGCCCCTGCCCCTCCCACCGGAAGCGGTCCCACGCCCCCCGAATCTTCCTCCTGCCGGCTGCTGCTGATGACGTCCTCCTCGAGAAAAGCCCCGGCCCCCATGCTGGGGCCCGTGCCTTCCGCCGTAGCTCGCACCTTGGCCGCCCGAGGGACCTCCCCAACCCCGCTGCAAGCGACATTCCTTGTTGCTGTGGGACGGGGAGTTGTGGAGGTCGCAGTATTTTATCTCAGGCGGGTACGGCGGCGGGTATACCTGTTGCTGCTGGTCGAAGTACGGCTGATGCTGCTGCTGTGGCTGCTGCGTTTGTTGCTGTTGTTGCCGCTCTGCCGTCCTCCGTTGCCCTCTCGTCTTCCCCCTATCCCCCATGTTCCCGCCCCCGCCACCACGGTTATCACCGCCAGTGACGAGGGCATACGCCCCCACGCTCTCCGACGCCCTCTTCCTAGCGGCAACCGTCTCCGCCCAGGCAGTCAGAATCACCTTCTCTACCAATTCGGTCTTGACCTCCGAATGCGCCAACAACACGCTCCTTTGCACAATGAAATCGGGCAGAAGGTTGCGTACAGAGTGGACGTTAGCATCATGATCGGATTGCACCCAACCGTACGCTTCTAGTTTCTGGCGAAGTACTGATGCTCTTGTGAGATGGCGCCGGGGCTCCTCCCCTCCTTGCTGCTTCAACGAGTACCACTGCCCCTGCAACTCCAACTTGTCCGTTTCTACGTGCACTCGGTGAAAGTTGAGAAATTGATCCCACGATTCAGTGGGGCAACCACTAGCTAGGANGGGCTCCTCCCCTCCTTGCTGCTTCAACGAGTACCACTGCCCCTGCAACTCCAACTTGTCCGTTTCTACGTGCACTCGGTGAAAGTTGAGAAATTGATCCCACGATTCAGTGGGGCAACCACTAGCTAGGATTGCAGGGACTATTGTCGGTACTTGTATCTTGGATATAATCAGTGCCAAGCGTTAACCGCCCGATCTACAGCTTCCGTCCCATGCTCCGCCTTCAATGCCGAGATATTCGCATCGGTCTTCCCTACACGAATCGTGTTCTTCGATTCTATTGCCCCAAGGCAACGCTCCTGCTCCAACAAAGATCGAAATTGACTGGTGAAAACCAAAACCGCCGTCTGTACATCGTCCTCGGGGCATAACTTCGTGGTGAATGCAGGGATTGTGATACCTGCGCTAATACGTATTGTTTCTTTAGGGGTTGGGACTTCCCTGTATTCATCCTCCGGTTTTTTCTTGACCCTCTGCAAGGCCCGCGCAAGGGTGTCGATGAGGCTGACGTTCGCCGGCGATCGGGGTTGGTCTTCGGGTCGCGGGCTTGACTCCGAGCCAGCCGGCCTCTCCAGCCGGGTGTCGCCTCCTTCGGAAGGCGTGCCCTCGCTCTGTGCTGCGGGGCGCTCTGCTGCTGCTTTTGATCTTGACCTGCTCCTTGATTACGTTTCGCTGCTCGTCCGAAAGCTGGAGCTCATCCAGCTGCTGCTCCATAATTTCCGTGTCACTGTTCTCTGGCCCAACCCTTTTGTAGCTAGCCCCACCTCGGGATCCCGTATGATGTATCATTAGCTAGCGTGTTACGACAATCCGAAGTGGGGGTAGCTTATCGCAAGACGTGTGTTGAATAGGGTATCGGCAACTCGGCGGGCTTGCGCCGAGGAGAAACACTTGTTGTGATTAGTTCCATCCACATGCACACACAGGTCAGCGGGTTAGCGCGATCGATGCTAATAATAAAATACACACACAACAAGCCCCGTTGAGGGGGCTACGCCGTATATAACAGGGGTACCTTGTACATCCCTGGAATCCATCCTACGTACCACACATGTCACCCGGTATTCCGCTCTACCTCATTCCATGGGAACATCCAGCACCAACCACTTGGCATTGTTACAAGTATATCTATCAGTTCACACCTCGCAAAGTTACTACCCCTGTATCCCCCCCTTGCGCGGTCTTTTTTACCATTCCACTAATCCCTTCCCACATCTGCTTGACGTTCCCCTCCAGGCCTCCGTTGGCCTTCTGCACTACTTCGTCCCAAATACACTTTTTCTTCTTTTTCACTAGTCCCTTCACCTGTTTTCTCTTGGCCCTGTACTTTTCCCAACTCTCCTCAGACGCCTCACTCAGGTATTGCTTGAAGACTTCTCTACGTTCCCCTATTTCTTCTTTCAGCTCGTCATCCCACCACTTAACCGAT